TTTTTCTTTAAGATTTTTCACTTTGATCGCAATTGAATTATTAAATTTGTAATTTTTTCTTTTCTATATAGAAACATATTTATTTTTTTGCTAACTAAATATTTCTACTTTTACTTTTTTATTTTTTTTATTTTTTGTAAATGTAAAATCACGCGTTTAAATTCAATTTTATTGTAACTTCAAATAGAAATTTGATAAAAATAAATAGAGAATTCAATTTGAAAAGTGCATCTGCGAATTGGACGATTCATATGTCAGGCTATTGCATCTCACTTGATTCTATAATTAATATAGTTTTCTTTTTGTTACAGGTGATCATCGTTGGATTTAACAACAAACCTTTGGGATCTTTTTTTATTTGAATTCCTGAAATTGTTTTACTTTTTAATATATGTATAATGGCATTTCTGAAGGCACACACATATTTTTTTTACTAAATGTGTAATAATATATTATTATTAACTGTACTATATTAGCTATTACAGGTATATCATCACGTGAAAATACCTACTGTGGCCCTCTTTTAGTTACGGCAGTAACTAAGGTGAGTCTGGTTAGTAAAAAAGTGGATTTGTTTGCGTCTTTGTACTTCTAGATCCTTTTTGAAGGGTTGATTATTCGTCGGTAAGCTAGGTACCAACCTTAACACGATATTTATTGTTACTGATATCTTTATCAACGGTTTACCGTTCCATGATTATAGACATATTATAGTATACTTGTAATATTTTTTTTCTTTTGATTAAACAAGTTGGGAAGAATACGAACCAATAAAAACAAGATAAAAATTGCATACTTACCTTCATTTGTTCCTGTCGTTTGTAAGCGTGCATCATCAACAATTTTCTTTCGTCTTCTGACATCAAAGGTTCCCGTCCCGGCATCCCAGTTCCTCTTTTCTGCAATTTCACGATGACTTTCGTTTTTTCGTTCGAGCCTAGGAAATCCTTTAACTTCTTTCCTTGAATCATTTCCTTACCGGAAAACCATAACTGCGCTAAATTAATGTCCATTACCTAAGAACGATAGAAATGAAAAATTATAAAGACAAATATATTACTTGTATTAACTGAGCAAAAAAATTTCGTACAAATAATTATATTGTTTGATAATTTATATAAAGTCAATAATTTAATTAATTTACCTCTAAGGATGCTTGAGTCCCTGTTAAATTTTCAGTATTCTCAAATTCTTGACGTATCACGTCGTGAGGTGGTAAACCCATAGGATAAACTATAGTTACTGCTCCTCTAAGTATGTCTAGAGCATCTTGAACAATCTTTTGCGTTAGGAGTTTATCTTGTTGAACCAATTTCTAAAAAAATTCCAAGAATTTCAAGCTAAACGAACAAATCTAACTTAAACGATCCATTAAAATACCTTGGATATCATGGTTCTAGCATCTTCCACGGTTTTTTTCAATACCTCTTGCATCTTATCGTTAGGCTGACGACCATTTCTTCGACCTAAGAGTAATAATTAATTAAATTTCATTTAAATTTCAAAATAAATCCGGGATATTTCTATTGTCTATTAAATTTTTCTTTTTTTAACGAAATTCCACTCTAGATCGTATGGTATATATTTTTAGAAAGAATAAAAATCAATAAAAAAAAAAAAATTAATTAAACGTACCTACGGGATCCTTGTTAAATGTCCATCCACCCATGGGTATACACTTTTCACCCCATTCATCTTTAAGCTTAAGTTCTTCCACTTGTTCATCCGTAAGTCCCATAATGTTTGGTGGTAACATAGTACCGTGTTTTGTTAAATCTTCGATTTCTACAAATTCGTGTTACTTTTATCTCTATTTCTCCCTCTCTCTCTCTCTCTCTCTCTCTCTTTAATTATAATATGGTACGTTTATTAAAAAATGAAATAAATGACTTGACAAAAAGAAGAAGAAGGAAAACAAAACTTTAAACGAAGTTCAATTATTAATCGCATAATACCGGCAACTCTATAATAATTATTATCTTCTGTAAGACGCGTGTAACTAATATCACATGTAACCGAGAATGAATGGATTCATAAAGTCGAAACTCGAGTTCTTATTACGTGCGGCTTATTACAAACAGCAGGTGAATACCTTCGAGATAATCGTTAATGGATTTTCTCGGGTTAATATTCCTACCGAGAGAATTACTTCGTGTGTATATAAGTTGTTAACTAACTTACAATACAATCCTGTCGGTTAAAATCGACCCCGTTTTAGTGTGAGATAAGAAAATTTTGCCCCTTAGGGTTTTTATTTTATTTTACTGTCTTATTATCTTATTCTACTCTTCGTGCAGCAAAAGTATTTCTTCTTCTTCCTCTTCTTCTTCTTTCTTTCTCGTGAAAAAAAATTTTTAAACGATACCATCGATCTTAAAACGTGAGAATGAATTACGTTACTATCCCCCTTCCTGCCTCCACCACCTCGAACACTTTTGTTATAAAGTAACGTGTAATTTGAAAATGCACGCAGTGTCTATTAACATTTGTACCATTAAATGCAATTTTTATCTTGACTCTTTAGTTTTGTTTTTAAATCATACTTTTTTTAATGAAGAATTATTACCATAACATATTCTCAAAATCTTCAGTCGGCCGTTGTAAATGATAGTTATTTCATTTAAGACATCCTCCACCGATGCATTTACATTAGTTTCGTAAAGAAATTGACTCTCGTCGCCCTTTTTCACGTGAAGTTTCACCATTTTTGTTCTAATTTTTGTATTAAAATAGAAAAGAATCAATTTCATAATAAATATATTACGAGAATAAAAATATTTTTCTAGGAATATATGTTAAAACTTTGTCTTTAATTTACTTACGTGTTTAGAAATTAAACGGGTTTTTATTTGTCAAACAAAAATTGTATGAAACTTTTCTTCCTTCGTCTATTATGTTAATCGATGTTTTTTAATAACCTTTATTTTTTTTTATTTTTTAATAGCAGAAGCGCTTATCGAGTTAAATTCTAAACGTCACCCACAAAATTGCTAATAGTAATCAAAATGTGTTGTGAATAATTTTAATACGATAGCAGCGACAAACGCGAGTTACACCACACTGATTTCCATAGTAACTAGGGTAACATTGAACAAACTATCATGATCACGCTGAGAGATTTAGTAAATATACTTGGTAACGTAAGAGAATATAGGATAGATAAATGTTTGACAACATTTATTTTATTTATGTGGGATACGATTGGGTTTTATAAAAAATAATTATAAAGAAAATGTATGTTGTGTGTTTTCTTCAAACGAAATAGAAAAAGTTGGTAACAAATAGAATCGGCCATTTAATGAATATATAATTCCATTTCATTATCGTGTAATATACATATGTACATTCTAATGGAACACAGATTATAAGAATAAAGACAAATTCACATGTAGTTTAAAGGGGGCACGATAAAATATGACGTTTATATTCTATCGCGTTTATATATTTTTTTTTTTTTTCAACATTTCTTTTCTCTCTCTCCCTTTTTCTGTTTGATATATTTTTTCTTTTTTCTTTTGTTTTTCCTGTTATGTTCCTTCGGACATGACAAATAATTGTATTACATATATATGCAATTCGTGTTACAGAATTTTCTATAATATCGTGTATATATTTTGGAAAATCTAAAGATTCTCGTTATCAATATTTTTTTCATTATTTTTTAGTCTCTTTTCAAAATTTATACTATAGCATCTCGGAGATACAGATAATAATGTAAAAATTAATTTTGAAATAAATTTGTCTGTGTTAACTTTATTTTCTATTTTTTGTGATTGCAGAAACGATAAAACTTAATAATAATTATAATAATTACAATAATAATAATAATAATATTATTATTAATATTAATATTAATAATAATAATGATAATAATAAAAATTCTTTGAAATATCTTTGACACTCGTCGATGTGAAAAAAAAAGAAAAAAAAAAAATAGATAAATCTCTACATTTATCGAACGTACTATTTTAAACTAACGTAAATGACTAGTATTATGTTAAAATATAGATGGATTTATTTTATTTTTCTTTTCTTTTTTTTTGTCCATTATTACTATTATACCTGGGAATAGTGCGTTTAAGCGCAGATCATTTAATAATAGGCTCGAAACGAAGATGGTCCCTAAATTTTTCTTACTAATATGCCATCATATTACAACGCACACACGTTCGAAAAATAATCTTTTCATTTACACGCACGCACCCACACAATTCTACGAATATTAGTTTTTTTTATTTGTTGTTGTTTTTGTTTTCCGATTTCATTTAATCGATTAATTCTTTAAAATAGATATTAATTCTCTAGAATAGATATATATATATATATTTGGACTAAGTGGACATATTCAAACGAATAGTACCTTTTTAAATGCCCTCAAACGACGATCATTCTAAAAGTTAATAATCAGAGATTTACATAAGTTTGTTGTAACTTTGTAATTCCAATAAGCGTCATTTCCATGAATTGTTTAGAATAAATGTGCGTTTTTGCATATTCGATAAAGTATAAAGTTATTGAAATGTTTCAATTTTTAATATATAACTTTTGGTTAATGCTTGTCATGAAATATATGACTTAATAATATAAATTAATTATGCGAACATGCAACGAAATTACGTTGCATGTTCAATCTATCCTAAATCAACAAGACTTATACACAATTATTTAAAAATACGTACCACATAAAATGTACATTTACACGATATTTATACATCCATTTTTCTTTGCTCTTATTATGTATAATATTATAATATATATATATAACTATATTTTTAAACGCGATATGAGGCGAATATGATACAATAGAAAAATTAGCATTTGGTCCGGAAAATGAATAAAAAATATATATCGTGAGAATTCTCGAATTACTTACAATCTATGCACAATGAATACACACTTTGAAACGAATGACAATGTTCAAATAATTAAGATCGAAACTGTCTTCGATTATACACTTTTAACATTTTATTTATTTATATTCATTTTGACGTACGTGTTTCTTCTCTTTTTACGAGACAACACGGTGTACACAAAAAAATATATTCATCTTTTTTTTCTTTTTTTTTTTTTTCTTTTCTCTAAACGATCAAACATCAACGACGATTCTCGTTATACGATTTTGATTTAAGTATAGCCATTACAAACGACATAATATTTTTTTTTCATCTGAAAATATATTATAGAGTCATTGATCGTTTTGTTTATCTGTGTTCTTTTCTTATTTCTTTTTTTTTTTTTTTCTTTCATCCCGATCGACGACGACACATAAAATTATGTAAAATCTCGAACGCGAGTTGTTTAACATCTATCTAATTAATTGTAATATTTAAAAAGAGATATGCTTTAATAAAACCACGTTTCTTTTTCTTATCGTTTAATTAATTGTCAACGTCGATCATTTTTCATCCTAACGTTTCTTCGATATATATCTTACTTTTTTTTCTATTTTTTTTTTCTTCTTTTTTTTGTTTCCTTAAAAAATATATTCTAACATTTCAACGATAATACGAGGACGTTAAAAACAATGTTACATCGGATCGGCGAGTATTATAATTAATTTTGACACGTTTATATATCTTGAAATGTAATAAAGTCATGATAATCAATCAGTTCTCGTCAATGGTTAATCTTGTAATATTATTAGATAGTCGGGAATCCTTTTTTATGGTTTTGCCGGTTTCTTGATAATACGGATAAGCACCGTGCAGTGTTGCACACTGCACGGTATACTCGTCTCAAACTTTGGTCTCTGGCCCATCGGTAGTATGCTTGAAAGAATTTCGAATCTTACTTAGATGTAGTGCTGCTATATGTCCGTAACTTTTATTGTACCAATCGGGTGTTCGTCCTCTGTTTAAATTGAAATAAAAAAAAGTTATTATAATAAATTTGCATTATTAAAGGGAAAGCAAAAAAATAATGTTTTAAAATGTTGTATTGCTTACTTTGTATCGACCCTAGACAAATGCATGATACGTGATTTTCCACTACCGCATGGTTCAATTAAATAACGCGAGGCTAAAACGATTCCGCGAGTTCCACCAAGCATAACCGGGGCATCTGGATGTTCAACCGACGTTTCAACGATAACACAAGCACCCTTAGGAAGATCGTTACGCCAGGATCTATAATTAAATCATTTGTTTCGTATTATTATAATATATTATTTTTTCTATTGTGTTTCATATCATTTTTTGTTCTTGATATAATACTTAAACGTTTGAATATACCTTAATACACAGTAATCCCGTGCAGGAAGAGGACTCATATTTCCAATTGCATATTGAAATACTTCCACGTTTTTATCCAACTCTGTGACCAATCTGTATTTGAGAAGTTGCTGATCCCAAATATGTCTTTCCCTAAGTACACGATGTAACAGTTCATTAGGTGGTGCTTCGACTTCAGTCGAAACTCGCCAAAGTCGCAAAGGATGTCCATCTCCAACTTTTTTGTAAGCCATATCGACGCTACTATCGGCAGGATTGTTAACGTTGACCCATCCGCGACTTCTGTATACAAAAATTAATATTCACTTACATTTGTAATAATTTCAAACGTTAATGAAATAATGAAGTTTAAATTAATAGAATAGTATGATTGGTACTCGTTTAAAGTGAAACTATTACAAGGTTGTCACTCACTTTTCGCATGCTTCTTTCAACAATGCAGTCGTGCAGGCTTTCAAATATCCCCTCCAGTCTTGATTGAGCTCCGAACCGAGTTCATCGAGGGCGACTGGAACGCTCTCTTCCATGTAATTGAAGTGACACTGTGTCAGCATATCCGATGAGACCTGAGAGGTAACCAAGTATGTAACATATAAGTATTGTATATACGTATATGAAGGATTATATATATATATATATATACGTCATATATATAGGCGTTCACGATTCGTGAGAACGTGTTTGCATCTCGGATTCGACCATCACGATCGGGATCGATGGTTCGAACGACGAATGACACGCTCCTACACCAACGAGCGTAACGTTTTCCCCGGTGAGCAGCAGMAGCAGCAGCGTCTCTCTTACCATGAATAATTCACGATGCATGTTGACCAGATACAGAAGACAATCGTGCGCTGCTTTGTTTTCCGACAATTCCCGCGGATCGGGACTGCCCACGGTCTTTCTCCTACGAGGGGATACACTGCTCGGCCTGTTGGTCACGTTTGTGTTGCTGTGGTTGAAGTGGAACAGGCTCGGTGCCAGGCACACGGCCAGATTCGAGGCTGTCATTTGATTGTAAACCGAGTTGCTTGCGACATGATTCAAAAAATCGAGCAACGCTTCCAAAGCCTCTCGATGTTCGTCCGGTAATAGGAGGAGGACACACTGAACTGCGTCCGGTCGTAGGTCCAATGGAACATCTATGAATCGAAATCGAACGATTATTTGATGTTTAATGTGATCAATAAAAAAAAAATTAACAAATTGAATCTTACGTTGAAAGATAGCGATGAACGTTTCAGAGAGCTTGTTCGTCAATAAAGCTTCGGGTAATTCCCTGAAGTATTGTTTCACTAAATCTGCTACATCGAAAGCTTGTTGACCGTCGAAATTAATGCTATCGCCTTGAGTTTCCGTCATAACTTTCAACTTTTGTATTCTCGACCTGACACCACTCTTTCTGAATAACCCAACTTGATCTAATGCATTAGTTCTGATCCATCTTAAAGCGTTTTGTATACTTTTTGGTAGAGCCTGACCAGTTCTCTGGAGAGATAGAAGCAGAGGTACACCAAATACAGTTTTATCTTTGTAATCGGGTGTCTTAATTTTTCTGATGAACTTTGGCAATTCCCAATTCCATCCTGTACGATGTGTTGGACAATAACGTTCCATGCAAGCTGTTAATTTGAGCAATGCTAATTTTCTAAGGACCAATAGTTGTCCGCAGGACATCGAAGCCATAGCTCTTGGACAAAGGGGATCGAGTGGTTCCGGATATAGGGAGCCCCTTTGAAAGCTATGCCACCTTACGACCGTGACCTTGTGCCTCGGAGAATCTTCCTCCTGATCGGAGTCTCTGCTCGCTACGGTAGAACTGCTTTCCTGACTAGCCCCCAACTCGGAACTTCTCGAGCGCGATTTGTCCCTGTAAACGGTTACATCCTTCGACAAAGGTTTTTCATCCCTATGTGAATCGTCACGACGCCTGAAACTCTTCTGCATTTTATCCTCTCGCTTCAACGCGGATACCTTGTCTTCCTTGAACCTTTCCTGACCCTGGTTCAACTTATCGCGAAACCTTTGCGACTCCTTGCCAAGATTGAGGCTTCCACCGCGCGTGTTGATAGGCGTATTCTTCGGTGAACATTCCTTTGGCGTCTGTGGATGAGCAGCTACGTATTCCAATACTTTCGCATGATTGCTATTGGCGTCTCTAAAGTATCTTTGCCTCCAGCTGGTCGGCTGACACTCAGAGTCGCTCAATGCACCTTGATCGTCTCTACCACGATGGAGCAATCTACGTGCTCGATTCATCTTCGTACGCGTTGGCGTAGGCGTCGGACCACCTCCTTGCGAACCATCCGAGCAGTAACTCGAAGAATCATCGCCGAACGGACTGTTCGTTGCATTCGTTAGAAGAGAAGGCGGTAAATGATAAGGTGAAGGTGGCAAGGTCACTGGCGAGCCGGGTACGTGAACGGGCGAGGAACTCGATATGTTGTTATGATCGTTAAAAGTGATCGGTGCCGGTCCAGTTGGTGACACGTCAACGCAATTCAACTCTTTCATCTTTTGCTGCATCGACATCACGTCGAGTACTTGCGGACCGCTTATCACGACACCGTCACGATTCTGACGCTTGCGTCGTCGGGACTTGAGGGACTCGACCCTCCTCAGTATGGCCTTAGCTCCATCTCGTAGTCTTTCAGAGCCGGTCCTGCGAAATCTCGGACTGATCTCCTCCGGCAACGTACCCGGTGGCAGGCTACTGTATTTCAAATTCTCCAACATCGTATCTTCAGCCTCCTCTGCCTCTAACCGATCCTGTAGAGAATCCTCCTCCGATTGCACAACCGTCTGTTGTCCAGCTATCGCTTGCAACCTCTCAACGTTTGCTTGAGTGACGTCACCTACCCGAGACCATCGTCTCGTTTTCTTCTCGAATGTCCAATTTTCGCTCAAGGCGCATTGCGTATCCTCGTCTGAATCTTCTCCGCCACCACCCTGCAAAAAAAAAAAAAGCAAAAAACATGATATTTTCATTAAAACAAAACATCCGTAAATCTAGTGTTAAATATATAACACAAAGAACTTCTCTCTACAAAACACACACACACACTCTTTCCCTCCTTCGCAAACAAACGACCTTCGATCGGTACCAGTGAACGTTCAATCTCCTTCCTTCTTAACTTTATATACACATCCATTTAAGGATTTTTATTAATGAGCCGTTAATAAACGACTGCTCGGTTTTATATTTATGACATCACGGTAGTTTTCTTTCGGTCGCATTCCTGATTTTCTTCGGACCGGCCTCCGGTAATTATCTGGCCGCGGGGCGCTTCTGAGCAACCGAAGGTTCTCTCAGCTTCTCGGCTCGATTCGTCTTCCTGATTACTCGATTTATCGTTCCGTTCCGTTCCTTCTGCTTGCTTGCTTGCTTGCTTACTTACTTCTTCTTCTTGCACCAACGACGGAAACTAACGACATAACAAGCCGTCATTGACCTCTTAAAGAATATCTTCCAAAGATAGAAAGAGAGAATGAACTTTCTTTTAGAAAACTACTATTCCTTAAATATTAAACCAAAAGCAAATTGATAGTTTATGACACATAATTAATATTACCACTTATTGGTGAACGAATGATGTTTTCTATTGCGTGAATAAGTTGTGTTAGAATAATATAACATCTTTTTCTCTTTTGCTAGCTCGGTGGTTTTAAAAATGAGCGAATTTATATTTTTTCTTCTCTTTTTTTTTTACTGGATGTGCGTCAGCTGTACGGATGCAAGATAAAACTACTCCTCCCATCCCTCATTCGATTACGCGTCAGAGGAGGTAATCGAAGTCCTCGAATGTGGGCCACGATGGGTAAAAATAATCGTTGTTGCAGAAACGGGATATCGGCTTGGGCAAGCAAGCAACTCTCTTGTGTTACCACCCTCGTCTCTTGTTCATTCGTTCATTCGCTCGTACGTTTGCTCGTACGTTTGCTCGTACGTTTGTTCGTACGTTTGTTCGTTCGTTCACTCGTCGAAAATAACTTTTGTGAAACTTTCAATGCGTTTCTCATACGTGGGGGGACGGGCTTGTCGTCAAAAGCATTTCGATGCTTTTTCATGAGTATTCCCCTATTCTGTCAAATCTTTTTTTCTTTTTTCTCCCTCTCTTTCTTTTGCGGAACTGTCGAAACGTTGTATGTGTTACGAAAATAAAGTCTTCTGATATTTCATGTTATTTATAAATGTATATCTATCTAAAATTATAATAACTAATAAGTAAGCATATACGTATGCTTTGGTAAATTGTTTGTTTTATAAAATAATGTAAGATATTATATTTTACAATTGACTTTATCAAAATTCAAACCCAATTGAAATATGACAAACGTTAAATATCGTTTAGATTTTGATTAACATTTCTTTCAATGCTTTTTCAGTAATGACGAAAATAATTAAACTTTACAATCGAAACGAATAATAATAATACTAATAAAATACTAGTAAACCATTATAAAACGATTTCATTATCGTTTCGTGGACATATTTGTAATTTACAAATATTTATTTAAATAATTTTAATCGTTTCTCTTTATCTCGTTGATAATATTTTCAATTAATTACCTTATCTTTTATTTTCGTAAACACGAGTCAACGTATATTTTCGATAATTCTACAGAAAGAACAAATATTATCAAACCACTTTTTAGTAGTAGTCATATCATTTCGTCATAGTATGTATTCGATTACGTTCACAAGACGTATTCCTCCCTATCCTTATTTCCGTTCGAGCGCATTTTAAAACGGTCAACGATTCTTACATGCGAGTTATTTCCGCAACGGTAGGAACCGTTCAGCCAGCCGTATCACCCCTTATGTAGGTAAATAAGATATATACATACATATATACAAGTCAAATGATATATAAATGTATATACAACAACGTCACTTCCGTTAAGGTACGAACTCCTTTCCCTCTACCTCCAGTATTTCAAAAGTTATGGTGCCATATGCAACGATTACAGTTTCTTTTTTTTTTTTTCTTAAAACCTTTTCCATGTTTTCTTTTATTTTATCAAAAAATTTAATTGAACATTAATAGAAAGAATTACTTCGTTTCCCCAGTTATTGCAATTGTTAGGCGAGTTTCAAATTCAAAGGGTTCAAAAATGAAATTTAAAAGAAAAAGAATATTTTTTTCATATTATCTTTTCTCTCTATTCTCAATTATTATTATCATCCTCGTTATTTCTTTTTTATTTTAATTTTTATTCATTTTTCTACTGGACGTAATTAAAATTAGCGACGATATTTTCACTCCCCCTTCCTTCACCTTTTTTTGTTCTTGTTATTTCTCATTCGTACTCGTTAGATGCTATTGCTAATCGTGTCATCATCCTACCTATGGTGTTTCCCGATGAAATTAAAAGAGAAAAAAAAAAAGCAAACGGACGGATTAAAATAAATATAGAAAGAAAGAGAAAAAGAGATAGAGAAATTCAAATTTAGAAACGTTAGTAGCTTGTACGATGACTCAGATTAACTTAGCGGTTCATTAAAAGGATCTAACTGTAAAATTAATTTCGTCTAAACCTTCCCCTACCTACCCCTTTCCCCAACTAACTGATTGACTGACTGACTATGAGTTACAATTTTATGCTTTTTTATTTTTTCTTCGTTCTAACATAAGCCAAAATTTCTCTCCAGTGGTACCGTAATTGGTGAGTGTGTGTGCGGGGTTGAAAGAGAAAGAAGGGGAAAAAGGAGGAGGAGGAGGAGGAAGAAGAGAAGGTGGAGGTGGACCAACGGATCGTTCCGCTTTTTTAACGTCTCGCAAGGAGGATATTTTTGTTCCGGGAAAAATCTTTTTTTTCTTTTTCTTCTTCTTCTCGCGTGTAAGCTTTCGTCCCTTTCATCTTGTAAAGAGAAAAAAAAGTGAAATAAAGAACATGGTTTGTCCGTCGCGAATTAATAATGGATGTACTCCTCTCGAAGAGTTCACAAAAGCAAGCAAGTCGACGAGTCTTGAAGCGTGAATGCGATAATGTTTCGTGATAAGGGATCATTTTTCGTTTGCTGAAAGCAAAAAAAAAAAACACCGTGAACACGTGTACATATCTTACCCGTAATATTTAATACTTACTCTTTCGCTTATGATTTTAAATATGGGGGTTATATAAGAAGGATGAAAGATATGTTTTTTTTTTTTTTTAATCAAGGCTTTAAACCCAGAAAAAGAGAAGGAAAAAGTAATAATAATCTAATAAGAATCGTTAGAGAATCATCGAATCTTTAGGATCTTGTGAGAATCGATTCTCATGTTTGAAATTCTCATATTTGAAAGTCGAAATATTTTTCTTTTGCAAATACTGAACGAATGTAAAGGAACGAACGAACGAATGAACGAACAGAAAACAAGCTTGGTCATCTAGCAAAAGAAGCGTACGAGAGATCGACATTCCGTGCATTCTCTTAGCAGCAGCAGCAGCAGCAGCAGCAACAAGCAATGAGAAAATCCAACCTTATGTTCGAGATCGTGGATTTCTTCATTCGCGTGATCGTGAATTCCGTAACGAGAAACTTACTTACTTAAATGTATACGTCGACGTGATATTTTTCTCTTTTATTTCTTTTTTTTTTTTTGTTCATTTTGATTCAATTTTCTTGTAGTTTCTTTATGAGATTCCTGTGTTGATTCGTTGATTCGTTCGATCGGAAAAAAGGAAGAAAAATATACAAATAATATTAGTCGTTTCATTTGGTCAGAAGTATTTGGATGTACCTGGGACCAGTTTTTTTCTTTCATCGAGAATCAAGAATGAGAATCGTGAAGATCGAGGATCTAACGAAGAAGATCCAACGATCTCGAGCCGACAAGTCGTCTGGTAGAATCGTCGTCCTGGCTGGGCCAGGTTTCACGAGACGACGCCAAGCTGTCTGGCTGTGTGTTGCTGTTACTCTGTCGGCCTTCTCTTTTCTCTCTCTCTCTCTCTCTCTCTCTCTCTCTCACTCTCTTTTTCTCTCTTTCTCTTTCTTTCTTATTCCCAGTCCGATCATTCCATCTCTTTCTTCAACGGTCGAGTTCTCTCGTTGAGAGAAATCATCGAGCCTTATATATCGCGACACACACACACACACACACACATCAACACTTACGCACGTTCAAATACTGTGTTGACTCGCCTTCTCTTCGCCATGCATGGAAAATTCAGTTTTCTAACGGGGTCTTATACGACTTTACCCACAACACATTTACTTCTTCATGTATACGCACACATATCATACATACAAGAGGCGTAAATGCACATACAGAGAGAGAGAGACAAACGCACGCAATGCTTTCATGAATTTCTTTTCTAGAGATCTTTATAAATTTACATATATACCACGCATATATTTGAGTTAAGAGCGACTACTAATAGAGAATTCTTTAACGCTTATAAACTCGACTATAGGCGTCTAATTAAATGCGTTCACAAGCATTCACCATGATTATCTGATTCGCGTGAAATTCGACTATCAACGTGATACCATATAAAACCTTTCTAATCATTTACCCATTTGCCATTTTAACCGTTTCTCAACGTATGGAATTAAAATAAAAATAAAAATATAATAATAAAAAACAAATAAAAAAGAAAGAGAAAAAGAAAGATAGAGAGAGAGAGAGAGAGAGCTGAGAAAGAGACAAGAAAAAGATCAAAAGAGATCCCACGCGAGTTAGTCGGGAACGTGGTAATTAACGATGAAACCGTCTAAGTATGAACAAAAAAAAAATAATAATCATCTGGTTTATCATATTCCCAGTAAATGAAAAAATTCGTGATATATATTAAAAACTTATTCGCGCGTTAAAAATGTAATTTTCTAACATGCGTTGGCGTTACTTTGACCTTTTATCGAATGAGAGCCGAGAAAGAGAGAGAGACAGAACTGGAGGAGGATATTTCGAGGAACGGATTTTGTATTGGGTATTAAACGGTGAAACGATCAAACGGTTCTTGCGGCCAACTTGATTTAAGTAAAACGGCGTATCGCGGTCTTCATCTCGGTGTGACTTACGCTAATTGGCTTCTGAGCGATCCGATGGAAATTTATGGTAATACGGCAGCTCGCCCGCGAGCTGTAATACTACTACTACTACTACTATATTAACTATACCACTCCTCTCAATTGCAACAAGTATAGTATCTCGGTCTCTTCTTCGTGATAACTGCCTCAGCTACCTAACAGAAAATAGACATGAACGAAATAAAACATGACGATGGTGCTACGATGACGAGTCGCTGTTCGTTCTTTGAGCTGCTTACCGTTTGCATATTTTTCTTTATTTTTTTTTTTATTATTATTATTATAGATAGAAATATAATTGATTACGTATTTTTTCGAAGATAATTGTTAAATAGAAAATAATCTTAAGAAGGTTAATCGGTAAAATTGATAGAAAAGAAATCTTCCTTGCACCTTTACGTCGATTTCATCAATAGAATCGCGAATTGAAGACGAAACACGGAGAGAACAAAAATAAAGAAGACCTAGTAGTAATAAAAATAAAAAGATTATCAGAGAGAGAGAGAGAGAGAGAGAAAAAGAACGTTCTTCTTCTGCTTTTCTTTCACCGATGGTGGTGCGTGTTCGCAGGTTGACAGGCGCAACGACGACAACCAACATTCCTTCTTCGATCGAACAAACCGGTCCCCATAAATTCGCGCGAACGAACGAACGAACGAACGCAAGTGCCCTGTTTCAACCGTTTCTTTCTACTGTGTGGATACCGGTATCAGCAACCATACTTACCTTCTTTCCTAGAGATACCTTTTTGTTGACGATCTTTGCCGATTCTTTCCTTCCCTTAAACATTTATAAAAAAGCTGGTGGGTGATTTTAATGTCAGGAGGTTAAAGTAGAACGGTCATGGGGGTTTATGATGAAAATTTACTCTCGTAAATGGAAAAAGAAAAATAATCAAAAGATAGTCCTATATCTTTTTCTCTTTCTCTCTTAACGTGGCTACTTTCACACACTCACATACGCACTTGACGTGTACGTTCGGTCACCGCTAACTCGCAAGTATGCATATATATATATATATATATATATATATATATATGGAAAAGGTTGGTGTTCTACTCTCTTTGCCATGGCAAGATGCGCGTCGTTCTGCAGGTGCAACGTATGCAGACCCGCCATGCAGTCTGCCACCGTCTTCTCTCCCTTATTTCTTCGTTTTTTCGTTCACTCCTTCCTTCCTTCCTTCCTTCCTTCCTACCTTCTTACCTTTCTTCCTTTCTTCCTTTCTTTCGTTTCGTTCTTTCCATCATTCGTGAGTTCTCTTTTACTCGTTTGCTTACATTTACGAACCAGTTTCTAATTTTTACGCATCGATGGTATCGAGGTTCCGCTGTTCTGCTACGTGTAATTACGCTTGCAACCTTCTTCCCCCTACCACCACTTACTTCCCCTCTATCTGCTTTTTTAAAAAAAAGGTCTAAGGTGAAAGCACTCAAGTTTAATGGAGACATCCCTTTACTACTCTCATCGCGGAACAATATTTTCCCTTACTTTGATAAAAGCTGCCCGTGAGGTCATAACGTTGGTACACGAGCTATACGTAATTATTGTTGCGATATTGGTTAGTACCATGACGACGACTATGACTATGACTATGACTATGACTATGACTATGACGATGATGAGAGGCTATTCAATTTTCTATCGGTTGAAAACACGAAAAGTTCTCTTCTTGTCACGTTAACGAGCTTTCTCTGTTGAAAACAAATTAATTTTCATGTCGCTGCAACTAATTTACTTATTTTATTAACTGGATAAATGCACTCCAATCTCTTCTCTTTCTCTCTCTCTCTCTCTCTCTCTCTCTCTCTCTCTCTGTGTGTGTTTCTCTCTCGCGTTTTATTAATTTATTAATTAATTCATTAATTTTATTATATATATATATTTTCTCTAATTATATAAATTAATATATTAGCAATACATCGATTGATATTTTTTGTTCGGATAAAAAGAAAAAAATATAATTCTTGATTTTGTTTTTGTTGTCGACCTTGGTTGACGGCAAGTGGAAAGCGCATAAATTCGACATGGTGGTGATGGTGGTTTGCTCGTCGATGAGTGAAAGCGACGAACACACGACGATACAACGTCGGAATCGTTATGATTTCCTATCGAAATCGAATTGCATTGCGAAAACGTTTTACCTACCTACTAAAGAAAAAAAAGCAACAACACTTTCGTGAAACGCATTGGCAAAAAAAAAATAGTATCAGAAGAATGATAAATAAGTTAATTGCATAATATAGAGTACAAATTTTTCTTCACAAATTTATGATAAAAATAAAATAAGATAACAATAACAATAACAATAACAATAACAATAACAATAACAATAATAATAATAATAATTAGAAAGATAACCAAGAGAGAGAAAAGGGGGGTGATAGAGAAGCCACGCCGATTTTCCAACGACGTAAATCCGATTATAGTTGAACGAACGTATCGCATAAAACCCTTTAGCATACCGATCGAGCATGGTTGCTTCGTAAAGGCTGCCTAGTATACGTTCAGCAATAAATTTATGTCGCCAAATAAGTAATTTGTTCCATAGGCGAATGCTTTCTCTCGCTTCTAGGAACTTTAGAGAAATATTCTTGGCATTTCTTACGATCATTGCTTAGAGACAGAATAAGAAGATACATTTTCTTATACATATATATATATATATATATATTAAAACGTCTTTTCTACGTTAGATATTTGTTGGTAACGTATATATACGTCGCGTACAAATGCACATTCGCTTCCGGTGAGAGCTTGCAGCTGCGTTCATTCTCTCTCTCTCTCTCTCTCAATGTGTGTATCTATCTTTCTCTTTTTTTTCTCTCTCTCACTTTGAGTACAGGAGCTCATGCGTTTAAAGGCATCACGCATTCGATTCGTTTATGGGAATGAAAGTCGGTGGATCTATCGAACATAAGTATACTTCGCGTTCACTTGCTCTTTTATGTTTCTTTTTTTTTTTTATCGTGTTTCCACCATCTCGACGAGAGAAGACTTCGATTCGTTGTAAACTCCAAGAGAGAGGGAGAAATTGTAAAACGGATGTCGGGATTACGCACGGTACCCTGATACTCAACCGATTGGTAAGTGCCATTATTTTGCAACGTCACGAGGAAGATATCGAGATCTATAAGATCGATAGACATACGCCAAGTATAAAGAATGAATGAAAAGAAATGAAATGAGAAAGAAATTCTTACATTGAGAGAGATGAGATGAGATTTAATAAAAAAAAAAGAATAATAATGATGATAATAATAATTTCAATAGATTTTTCTTGACACCCTTTTATTCGATAGTGAACAAAGTAAAGATCTCGATATCATTTACAATTGATAATTGAATCGAATCTCGAACGGTAAAAGCTTCAGAAACGATTTAAGATTAAATCTAATAGATACTTTATTCGATCTATCGATACAATAATATAATAGTAATATTCCTAGAGTCATTTTAAAAAGGTTGATGATGTATTATAATATATTATTACACGAAGAGAATCAATTAGAAACGAAATACGATTATATACAGGTCACGCGAAAACTCAAGTAACTTTGAAATTATTATTCCAACGTGTTGTTCGTTGGTTTAACACCATAAAAAAAAAAAAAAAAATAAGAGGTATAAGAATAGCGTAGCAAAGACGAGGAGTTAAGCGTGTTTCACCTTATGCATTACAATGACCACCATATCTGTAAAACGTGTCATAGAAAGGTACGTCCTCCACCTCCTCGTCGTCCTCCTCGTAGTCCTCCTCCTCCTCCTCCTCCTCCTCCTCCTCCTCCTCCTCTTCCTCTTCTTCTAACTCATGTCAATAATTATTACACTGTTTTACAAAGTTTTCTTTTTTCTTTTAATAACTTACTTACTTTTTTTTTAAATTTTTTATATTTATTTTTGTTTGAAAAATAAAACGAGTTTAAGAAAGAACGCTATAATAATATTCTAACATAAGTGGGATCTTTCCTTTAAGGGACGATAAATATGATGCTGATAAGTAAGATTAACAAAGACCACGTTTTTTTTATTTTTTTCTTGCGGATGACAATGACAAGGAAACTCGAGGACGGAATACTTAAGTGCAGAATTACATTTACCCTAGCTTTCTTGGAACTTTAACTCTTTCAGTTGAATTAAACTTATACTAACCTAAGCATTTTTTAAAAACGACTTAGATGAACACACAATGGTAATAGGATCGAATAAAAATTGTAATCGGAGTTTTATATAATTAATTTTCAATGGAAAACAAAAGTTAAAATTATTTATCATTGCGATACAAGTCACATACAAATATACACACACACACACACACGTTGGGATATACTCGTTTAAAAGTAAGATAAAAAAAATATAAAGAAAATAATGTACTTACGCTTTTGCTGTGGCTCGTGCTATGATGCGAGTGATGCGTGTCCAATTTCATATTGGCGCAACGATTGAGCGCATGTAAACGCCTGAAAAGACTTTGCAAGGAATCAGTTTCGAGAAAGGGATGATCCTTCGCCACTCCCGTAACATCAATTGGGAATTGATAGTCTGCACAAAAAATATACAAAAATATTTATTATCCTCGTGTATATGCATCCTTCTAAAAAAAAATATCATTTTTCCAGTTTAATTTTTCAAGAAATTATTTCGTAATTTCATTTTTTATCATCGAAAAATGATCAGTCATTATATCAACAATTATGTAAACCCATTTGGAATAATTTCTTTTCTTTTTTTTTTTCCTTTCCAATTCATCGTAAAGATTCGTATCGATCATCCGGTTTATGGTGGATTACGTGAATCATATTAAAAAAACAAATTGGATTAGAATGGAACAGATTGAATTTTTTTTTATTATTCTTCTTGATTTTTTTGTTTTTTATAGAGAGTTATACCTTTCAACATATCCACTTGGATGTGTTGCTTGGTAAAAGTTCGGAAGAAGTTTTGTGTCACGACTTGCGCAACGATGACCTAGATCTCTTGATCCAGATCTTTAAGATCCATGATCTTTGCCCGGGATCCTGGATCCATCCACGAGGAATCAAAGTAGAACGATTTTCATATAGAAAAAATAATTCTAGTAACTCGTAATATATTTTATATATTGCACCGAAAATTTGTTCATTATTTTACCTATTATTATTTTTATTATTATTATTATTCATATTATTATTATTATTATTATTATTATTATTATTTTATTGCGTAAAGAGAATAAACGTGTTTGTATCATGGTTAAATATTGCATACTAAATAATTTCGTTGACTATAGCCCTGGGCTTATCACAAGTTTCACATAATTACATTTGCATTATTTATCGAGTTAAATAACGCTACAGGAAAAATCAATGATGTATTAATAAATATATATATATATACACATTTTATTCGTGTTAGAATGAGATACGAATTGCTCTCGTAATTTATTTACGTTCAATATGCAATGGAGAAATAAAAAATGGAGAAAGAATAATAAAAATAAATAAAAAAAAAAAAAAAATAGAATCCACTGGGTAAAATTTATACGTATCCAATGTAAAAATATGAATATTACTTATTTTATTATTCACTCGAAATAGAACATAATGGTTGTTTAATTAAAATACATTTGATTCGTTTGTAGGATAAATACGGGTTTTAAGTTTTTAAGCACGCGACGCGAGAATTAATCGATTCATTTGTGATTATCGATGTAATTCGATAAAAGATAAATATAGACCTGGTTTAAATCTTCTTTCTTAGCAACTACCTAATGATCTCTTTTTTATTTTTCTTCTTTGAGAGAGCCTACACACACCACAATCAAACATAATTTCGTGTCAATGATCCACGAGTGAGATTTCTTTTCTAAAACAATTAAATGTTTAAACGAAAGAATACTTTTCCAATTTTTATCTTAATTTTGAATATATCGTCATTAATAATTATCGTATCTTCATTTAATCTAGTTACCTTGGTCGTGCTAATTATTATCACAGATAAATCATTTATCTTTAACTCGAACTCCAATTTATAGTCTACTTTGATTTAAATTGTTAACAAATTCTGTTTAAATAAAATTATTCGATATTGTAACGCGATATAAATTTACGAAGAAGTGTTAAAATTTAAAAAAAAAAAAAAAAAAAACCAACAAAGAACATTTATTCAATTTATTCTATCATTTAAATAAATCAAACGAAATAAACTAGTCATAAAGAGAAATCAAACAAGAAGCTCTCTCGTGGAATAATTACACGCATCTATGTTATATCGTTCTCGCCATCTTCTTATCGTGTTATCAGCAGAACTCGTACTATATGTATATATATATACACACTCATATAAGTTGAACCGTTCGTCGATCCCAAGAATCGTGTTTTATCTCACAAAGTGGCTTCGAGAAGAGTAACGCCTGGTAAGAAAACTTATCCGTGATTGTACGTATATATGTATATGTATATGTGTGTGTGTGTGTTTTTTTTTTATGTATATGTTCCTATCGATTCTTAATAAACGATACACGTTTGATCAAACGCTCGCGTGTAAATCGTATTTTATTTATATCGCATGCATTGAGAGTAGGGTTCAATTAGGTCAATTAGCTACTATTCATAGTTAGGTTCGCGAGCATCGATATAGTTAGGCTAACGAGAATTATGATCTTACTACTTTGAGCTGAGACTCTTTCTCTCTTTATACATATATATATATATATATATATATATATATATATATATATATATATATATATATATATATCTTTTTCTCTCACTCGTAAACTATATGACGTTTTTCCTTCTATCTCTTTCTAAAACCGGTGCAACTACCATAAGAACCGGTGTACGTTTATGCATCTACAAGATCGTCGAGACTGACGATAGTGGCAGAAGGACGTTCGATTTTCTCACGCGATCCTTTGCCTTGATCGAACGATCTTTTATATGATGTTTGTCTTTATTTTGCAAGAAAAATTATTATACTAATGAAATACGTGTTGTTCAAAAGAAAAACAAAGAAAATGATTTTAAAAAAACATTACTTATTCCTAATACTATGTCACCAATCGGAAATTAATTGTTGTTTTCTATAATTCATGAGACATTGTTACATAGATTAACCATAATTGATTTTTAACTATTTTTTATGATGTTTTACGTTGTAGGTTTTGTCAAAGAACGATCAGCTGTTCGTTTCGTTTTGCCCTGCGGTTAGGAGGTAAACCCTTTCCCTTTCACCCCTCCCCATGTGTTATTTACCGTTTCAATCTTACAATATCTTCCCTTTTGCCTAGTTTCAACATCTGGGTTGTGAATTTTGTGATCTAACAGCTGCATTACATGCCAGACCATGTTTATGAGGAGGGACTGTAACTTTACGTTTCTGATGTTTTGCCTTTAGGCTAACCGTCGACGAAGATGACGAAGAAGAAATCGTCAAATTAAATGTAAACACATTTTGTGTTCGTTGCTTTTATACAAATAGAAACAAATGATCATTTGGTAATTAACGATTATTAACTTAATAATCTTTTGGTTACAATATAATTATATCAAAATTGATTTCATTCCCATTGGGTTGGGTTTTTTCTATTTTATCTTCTTAACATAATTTCTTTCCACTTCAGAACGTTGTGTTTTTCTATCAAAGATATGTTTCATTCACATTATATATATATATATTTTCCATTTAAATTCATCGTGAGAAATATCACACGCAAGTCGGGAATCCGATGACGTATAGATGATTATGATGATAATGATAATGATGATAATGATGATCATGATCTTCGATAAAACTTTCCTCGAGTAAGTGATTCTATTACTTACGATCGAATATCATCAAGGATCAAGTGTTTTTCACAGAAATGTGAATCAACCTTACCTACCTACCTACCTACCTACCTACCTACCTACCAGAGAGAGAGAGAGAGAGAGAGAGAGAGAGAGAGAGAATAAACTCGCGTGCATGCACACGTGATCTTTTCTCGATCTTGATCTCGAGATATCGATTGCTTGCTTGCTACTAACATCTCCTCCTGTTCTTATTCATTTTTCATCTGTATTACTTTTCTTACCCACCGATCGATTAATTGATCATGACAACGGTGTGCCAAATCGAACCCATGGCATTGAATTATTCAAATTTATTCTCTAATTTTTGCTCACCTTCTATCTCCATCTTTTCTTTCAATTTTGGCTTGTTTAAAACAAGGATTTTCTTGAAAAAGAAAAAAAAGGTAGTAGTTAGTTCGAAAATGGCAAAACGATATATTGATGTTTGCTTTCGATTCTCTTTGAAAGAGAACGGGGATTGGAAAGTGCCCCTACGACACATATAAAATCGCAAGTTTAGTTGCTTTACGAGTGTTTTTACGAGTACTCACGAACGATCTATAATACGCGAGATAATCTCTCTTTCCCCAGAACCCCCCCCCTCCTTCTCTTTATTTCTTTCTTTATTTCTTTCTTTCTTTCTTTCTATAACTCTCTTTAAACTCTTGTGCACTCGTAATAACTGTCGTATGAGAGAAAAACGAAGTTACCTCGAAACAGCTGATCGTTATTTCAACGACAGGAGTCATATTCTCTCGTAGAATATTCACATATGCATGTATGTATATAAAGCATGCTGCTATTGCGGTGAACATTAAAAAAAAGCAATAAAAAAACAACACGTTAACTGGGAATAAAGGGAGAGGAGTAGGAGGAAGAGGGAGGAGGAGGTTTAGGTTTAATGTTAGAGTTGTTCGAACGATTTCAGAAAAGGGGTGGGTATATAAAGATCGTTAAAAAAATTACGTTTTTCGAAGGTTCGACGACTCAACATTGTGATTAAACTTCTTTACAAAAAAGGTGTATAGGATGTTTAAAAACGTTATAAACGTTACAAACGTAATGTGAAACTCGTCGAGATCTCGTATATCCCCTCTAACCGTTTAGAGTAAAAAGAAATCATATTTCACGTGTAATGCAATTCGTAAATAATCCTTGGCCCTAATGTAATAAAGTTGTTGCATTGTATTGTGTTGTGTTGTTGTTGCTGTTGTTGTTGTTGCTTGTTTGCTAAGAACAAGCGTAATTCGATTACGAAATCATTTTTAGTATCCAATACTACTACGTGTGTTTCTGAAAGTAAGAGACCGTTATAAAGTCATCCATTACAAGTTGAGGGCGACCGGTACAAACGATTTTAATCGAAGATTTCTCTTTCTATCTTTCTATCTTTCTCTATATCGTGCTTATACGCACGCACTCACGCATGCACGAATGCACGTATTTATATAAGTATACACAGTTACAAAGAAACATGTGCTGTAATTCTGTGCGAATCTTTACGAGCCGTGCCCAACATGGCCCGATAAATCCGCGAAGGATTGCTTTTAACGCGAATAATGTAAGGAATTTTTCTCACGAATTCGATATATATATATATGTATAAATGGAGAAAGAGTAAACGCGAATGACGGTGCCAAGACTGGATCACAAACGTGTATCGTGAATTTTGATACAATTCAAGCGTTTATATAACAGTCGTGACAGCATCTAACTTGCCACCTGTGCGTA